TTAGACTAAAGCACCTGCTTAAGCAAGCTCAGGCAAGCGCAGGGACCGTGGCAGCACTGGCCTCCCCCCCAGGGTGGGCTGAGCTGGCTACCAAGTCTGAGTGTAGTGGTAAATATTTATCTCCATATAAATTACTGGGGAGGGGCTGGAGAGATGGCTCAGTGATCTAAAGCACCTACTTGAAACAAGCTTGGCAATGCATAGGGACCGCGGTTCAATCCCCCAGCACCACATGCCAGCCAGCCCCGCCCCCTGGTGGGCTGAGCTGGCCACACACGCACGCACGCACGCACACAAATAAATAAATAAATAAATAAATGAAAAAAAATTGCTCTAAATCTTATTTAAAAAAAAAAAATTACTGGGGAGGCTGCAAACAAGAGGATCACTATAAGTCGGAGCTGCGTAGTGAGATACTTCAACAACCAAATGTATTAAATAATAATAATAATTTGCAGGTATAGGCTACAATCTCGTCTTTATAATTTATAACCAGTTCCCCTTGGTTGTGTATGTTTGAGTCTAGAAAAAAAAGATATGAGAGAGAGCTATTAACTTTTACTACCTCTGATTATTGTGTTGGTAGTTACCACAGTTATAATAGTGTCTTAGTTTTCATGAAGAAATTTAATAAGCTAAGAATAAGTCACCCATGATGATGCTACTGATAAAATAAATTTGTAATTTTCCCTTGTAATTTTATGCATAGTATTTGTTCGTAATTGTACTGTGCATGGAGATTTTGCTTTTTTAAAAAATACAATTTATTTCCACAGTTTTTAGTTACCATTTTTATTTTCATCATGATATTCAATCAGCTCAATGAATCTGAATTTTTAATTCATAAAACATTTAAGGGTTTATTCAGTTTTGCTTTTGTGGGTGAAGTTACTGTAAACATTTGGGCACAGTAGTTTTATTTTTCATTGTGTTCTTAGAGCAGTTTCTCAGTGAGGGTTTCTGGGGGATGTAGTTGAGATTAAAAATAGCTTGCACATTTCCTCATGCATAAATGCATGAGGCTTAAATATATTTTCAGCGTGCTTTTCTCCATTTCATGGTGCTGTTTCATGCTGCCATCCTCTCTGCCTCCGCTCCAACCCTTCTGTCACTGCCTTCCCCACTGTTGTCCAGTGGCAGGTCGGGGCAGGGGTGGGACAGGGTACTGTGGGTGCGGCACCTGGATTTTGCTTGCCATCCTGCTGTCAGACAAGCTTTCCTAATTTGGCTCATCACATGTCTGTTTTTTATCCACAAATGCAATTTCTATCAGGTGGTACCTGTAGTTCATTCCAGCTCTGAAGTCCTTGGTTTAGTGACGTTATTTTTTCTGCTGTGAGAGAACTTGTTACATTTCTCTGCCTCCAAGTAAGAGTAAGGAATCAACTGGGAAAAATTATATAAAGCTGTAAAATCCCTGTTTCCCATAGAAAGCTTGAGTCTGTAATCCTTTGTATATGACGGTGCTTCTTGTCACTGTTCATTGAATAACCTTCCTCCCCACCCACCCAGTCCTGGGGATTGAACCCCAGTCCTTACTACAAAATTACATTTTATGTTTTAATTTCAGACAGAGTCTCACTAAACTAACCAGGCTGGTCTCAGACTCGGCGCCCTCCTGCCTCAGCCTCCCCCGCTGCTGAGATTACAGCCGTGTGCCTGTGTCCCTAGCTTGAATGGCCACTTTTTAAGAGAAGAATGCTTCTCAGCCTTTTTTGGATTCTTCTTCCACTTTAGAATTCCAGTGAAGCCTATCCCCCCTGAAAAGGGCAGATGTCTAGTATGTTGTCTTGGTTATTTAAGGCAGGAAAGGTTTATTGAGCTCAGTTAGTGGCGATTTCAGTCTGTAATCAGCTGGCTCCAAGGCAGAGTGGCATGGCACAGGGGTGATATTTCAAGGCGGCAGAAGACAGCAAGAGCAAAAAAGGAGGACGAGTAGGCCTCTTTCCCCCCTTATACTGTAAGCAGGCTGCTGGGTAGGGGACTCTACTCAAGTGGACACAATGAACAACATCCTAGAGGGTTAGGGCATGTCCTTTTCACCCCGGGATGCTGAGTTTCTTAAGCTTCTAGACTCCTCCAGTTGACACCATGGATCAACCATAGCATGTGCAAAATTTTGCGTGTGAATTTAGATGTAAGATCTTTAGGCTGTACGGTGAAACCGTAGAACACCAAAAAAATGATGCAGGGATAAGGACTGTAGGTATGTCTTCCTAAAAGTGCCCCTACAACTACAAGTTGTTTAGGGCAAGGGATTTGGCTCATTGAGGAAAGAAAACCTATTGATTCAGTGAGTGAATGGTCAAGGAAATAGGAGGTGCGCTGTGGGGTAGAGGTACTTAGTGCCTGCGTGCTCTCAACTCAGGATGATTCTTAAAAATAGCATACAAGAAATTTGAATGCTCTCGCTCTTGATCTTTAAAAAAGAAAACAATCCCATAGTCTCCTGAAAGCATAGTTCTGTAAAATCTGTTGTTAAAGTACTTCGTTAATAGTTCTGCAGGTTACAAAATTTCAAAGAAACATTTCTCCAGCTTTTCATGTTTCCAATGATACACCTGCCTCATGGTGGCCACAGCCATTAAAATAAGAAACAAAATAGTTTTGGATACCACAGAATCACTCCCTTTCCCTTTTGCCTTCTGGGGTTTGCTTGGGCACCACAGGGGAAGCTCAGGCTGCAGCCTGGCAAGCCACGAAGATGTTCCTGAGCCCTGGGGAGGAGGGTTCTTGGGTCGGGGAGAAGAGAGATGCAGCCTGACGTGTTGAGAGTTACTGCTGTTGCGGGACACGTGCTCCTAGACATTAATGGCTTCAAAGGAAAATCTTGGGCCGGGACTCCTAGCACAGCTGAGCTGAGTTCCTTCGCCTGGTGCCTCTAGACCCTCTTCAAGATCTCAAGACCTCAGTTAACATTTGATTTGCAGGAGTATGTTTTGTATACATACCTACGTATGTGTGTGTAGCATGTGCACATGTGTCTAATGCTTCACCTGTTAAAGTCTTTCAGGATGTGTTTCTAAGTAAGCATATGTTTTAAAATAGCCCCCACTGTCAGTGAAACATGGATTCCCAGACTGTTCAGAAGGCCCTGAACCGTTCTGGAAGTGGAGTGCAGGTTGCCCCCAGTTCATAACTAAGGGCAGGACTCCCACCCTGGCCACCCAAGGACCTTGCTCTCTGGAGGAGTTGGTGTGACTAACATGCAGGGAGTGGGGGCAGGCAGGCAGCCTGAGCAGGTCCTTGCTGTCTCCTGTAGATCCAGCTGGTCCCGCCCGGCCAGATCCAGATCCAGGGCGGGCAGGCCGTGCAGGTGCAGGGCCAGCAGGGCCAGACCCAGCAGATCATCATCCAGCAGCCCCAGACGGCGGTCACAGCCGGCCAGACACAGGTACCCCACTGCATGGCAGAGCCCAGGTGGGGGGCGGGTCTGGCTCTCCTCCAGGAGGTTCTGGGCTCAAGGCCTTGCCCCACAGCTGTCTCTGCGTATGCGCACTGCGGCAGTGCTCACCCACTTCCCATCCACTGCCCACAGACACAGCAGCAGATCGCCGTGCAGGGGCAGCAGGTGGCGCAGACCGCCGAAGGGCAGACCATCGTCTATCAGCCGGTCAACGCAGACGGCACCATTCTGCAGCAAGGTGTGCGGACCCTGAGCCTTCCAGGGATTTGTTGAGTATTTGTTTGTCCCAAGCAACTGCAAGTGCTTCCCAGCTTTAGCTATAAGTTGTACGTAATTTTTTTAAACTGCCCCACTAAAAAAAGATTTTCTCTCACTGCATTGATGGTTGGTTCCTCATCCCCATGCCATGACCAGTGCTGTCTCCATTTGTAGAGTGACATTCTTTCAGTGGTAGCTAAAAGACCACCCAAGAGATTATGATGTTTCAAGGTCAAAATCATTCTAAATAAAAGATTGAAACTGGAATTTCTTCATTAGTAAAAGGAGAAAGACACCAGTAATCAAGTTGGCATTTTGCAGTGCTGTTGCTACTCATGTTTTATTTTCTGGGTTAAGGCCATTGCACTTAGATTCCATGACCAAAGGTTTCACTTGGGATGAAGATTTTGCAGTGTGTAAGACCCAGAGAGCTCAAGCAGGAGGATGTACAAGTCCTCAAACAATGCTGTTAATGAGCAGGGGCCTGACTTACGGGTTTCATTTTAAATTTCAGGGCTGGGGATTTAGCTCAGCGGCACAGTTGCCTGCCTGACAAGTACAAGGTCCTGAGTTCAGTACTTCCCCCAAAAAAGAGCATTTTAAGTTTGATTCCTGTCCTCGGCTCATTGTCAATTTGGGATAAACATACATTTATAAAACCTGTTTCCTGGAGCAGAATGTTCCCGCACATGTGAGCAGTGGGTACAGCGGTCATTGGGCCCATGGACACTTTCTCCACTTCTTTAGAGAAGTGTAATCGGTTCATTCCAAGGAAGGACTTACTCCAAACTGCATCCTAGACAGTTGGTAGAAATGTCAAAGATTGACTCCCAGAGTTTTGTATGTAAGCCAGAGTGCAGAAGCGGGGATTTTTCTCTGCTAGTTTTTCTGGGATTGATGAGGGTGTGCCAGACAGAAGAGGGACTAACTGTGTTCCCTTCTTCCTGTTTTGTGTGCCTGTTTATGTTTTATTTTCTTAAAGTCACAGTCCCTGTTTCAGGCATGATCACCATCCCAGCAGCCAGTCTGGCAGGAGCGCAGATTGTACAGACAGGAGCCAACACCAACACAACCAGCAGTGGCCAAGGAACTGTCACCGTGACACTGCCAGTGGCCGGCAACGTGGTCAACTCGGGAGGAATGGTCATGGTAAGGAGTCAGATGGCTCAACTTGCTGTTCTGTACCTGAGTTTGGCATGCATTTGTCTTTACAAATTTCTTGAACTTACCATCTTTTTTTATTATTATTTAGAGAACACTTTATTAGTTTCTGTAATCAAAACCATGAAGATATAAGACCTCACCTATTTAATGCAGTATGTTACCCCTGTACAAATGGGAAAAAAAACAAGTTTAACATTTCTAGACTAGTATGGCTGTTAATTTCTGTACAGTGCTACCTCAACACAGTAAACTGGGATTACTTTTTCCAAAGTTGACAGCACAGTTTAAGTTTCCAGAGATTCAAATTATATATGTGCATGTGTATATTTATATTAATATAAAAGGACCAGTAATAGCAGTATGTTGTATGTCAAAACTTTATACCTTTATCTTCTAAAACTTGGCTACAATGTTTGATATCTTAAAATTAAAATTAGTCTTTAAATCACTCAGAGAGGTTCACTTGTATAGTAAGATTGCACCGACCTGTAATTGTTAGATGCACCTGCTGTGTGCTGGAGGTTATCTGTGCTGGGGACAGCAGTGGAGAAAACAGCGTAACTAATTTTATACTATCAGAATTCGGCTAACAAGGGGAAAATGAGCTACTGATGTTTGGGAAATGGGATGTGTGTTGCCTCTGTTGGATGAAACAGGTAATTAACAGATTAATCAGCAGAGAAAAGAGACATGTGATATAATTATTAAGCAGTTAAGGAGAGTTGGGTGCTATGTGTAGAAGCTGAATCCCTTCAAAATAGGATGTGAGTGCCCAGAGGCTAAGGTGGATGGCTTACGAATGAGCCGTAGAGCTCTGCAGAACTGGAGAAAACCCGAAGAATCAACATTATCATTCAGAGTGGCTGCAGTTGCCAAGGGGCCGGGTGGTATTCAAGAGCCTGTGACCTGGTGCATAGTCTACAGTGGGGGATTGTGTGCTTAGAAAAGTTAGGCTTGTGGGGCCAGGGAAATAGAGCAGCGGTCTAAGCACCTGCCTGGCAAGTGCAAAGACCTGGGTTCGATCCCCAGTACTGCATGCCTTGCTGCCATTCTGGCCACTGAAACCAAGCATAGTGGCTCACACTTAACAATCCCAGCACTGGGGAGGCTGAGGCAGAAGGATCCCTGGAAGCCTGAGCTGCGTCACGAGACCCTGTACCAAATGAATAAATGCTTTTTTAAAAAGTTAGGGTTGTGCCACATAGAAAGTTAATTAGGGCTATGGATATAGTTCAGCAGCGTAGGTGCCTGCCTGGCAAGTGCAAGGTCTTAAGTTCGATCCCTGGTATGAAAAAAAAGGGAAAAGTTAACTAACTTGGTCCTGTAGTGGCAGGCATTCAGTAAGTTGGTCTTCCACCTGCCTTCATGTTGTGCTGTAGTCTGCTGGCTCCTGTTTCTGGTCACTGTGCAGCAGCAGATATACCTAGGAAAGGAAGCCATAGACGGACAAAGTAAGTCACTTTCAGTGGCTCCTGAGCCCCAGTGACATCATCTTCTGGTGTGTCTGTTTAAAATTCAGGCATAATGTAAATGTTTTCCAGGATTCTCTATTTAATCAAGTATTCTATGAGCTGTTTTTGTGGCCATCAGAAGACACCAAGACATGGGCTGTGTCCATAGCGTGCACCAGTCACGAGCTCTGCTTTCCTCTCCCACAGATGGTACCTGGAGCTGGCTCGGTGCCTGCTATCCAAAGAATCCCACTGCCTGGGGCAGAGATGCTGGAGGAGGAGCCCCTCTATGTGAACGCCAAGCAGTACCACCGCATCCTTAAGAGGAGGCAGGCCCGGGCCAAACTAGAGGCAGAAGGGAAGATTCCAAAGGAAAGAAGGGTAGGTGTGCTGCTGTGGCCCAGGAACGGCGTGGCGGGGCTCTGCTTCCCAGACGCCTTTCACGGGGTGTGTTAGCTAGAATACTTGCAAACAGCTGAAGCTAGGCTTGTGGTTGACAGTAGTTGGCAGTTGCTATTGCTGTGTGTGTGGCTTCAGCTGTAGCATCCACAAAAACTAGTGGCTTAATTTTTTTTTTTTTAATGAGCTCTGTACTTTTTTTATCTTTTAAAATCATTTATTTATTTATTTATTTATTTATTT